GCACATGCGGCCCCTTTAAGGCATGCGCCGGGCGGGGGCGCCCGAGAGCAGCCCCGCCCCCGCGGTGTGTGACGTATTCCCGCGGGAGGGGGGAGGACAGCCCTGTAACGTGGGGGTGGGGGGTGGGTCTCACCTCCTGGTCTTCGTTTGCCGTCATGGCGCGTGGGGGGAGGGGAGGGGAGCCCCCCCCGCAAGTCCCTGCCGCCGCCCGCTCTCAGCCCGACCCGACAGCACGCGAGCACGCACGAAAGCCAAGCGCATGCGCGCACACACCAAGCCCCACCCCGCCGCTCCAGTTCCTCGGCCAGGTCGCTTCATGGATCGCCGATTGGTCCCCGTCCCACTTCGCCGGGCCTGCCCCCTCCCTCTCGCGATTGGCCAGTTTCGTGGCCCCGCCCCTCGTGCTCTCCGCGGACTGTCTCCATGAGCGCCAATAATGGGCTTGGTCGTTGGGTTGGGCACCGCTGATTGGCGCAGTGGATTGTCAATCGGGCGCTTGGCGCTTGCTTCCGCAGGGGAGCTGCCTGGCTCTCCTGGTTCTTCCCAGCTGTCCGCAGCGGTGCCGGCGCCGGGTGGGCCGGACTGGGCCGGGCGGAAGGAACCGCGGGAGCTCGGGAGGTGAGAGCGTTGCCTGGGCCCCGGGGGCTGCGTTTGCGTCCCCCGGCTGCCTCCTTGGCCTCGTGATCGGGTCCCAGCCCCGGCGCAATCTGAAGGCCTCTGCCCCGGAGCTGAGCGTGCGCGGTGGGCGCCTGCTGGGGGCTTAGGGAGTATCCGCAGCTCCGCACCAAGCCCTAGGCCAGGGAGTCTGGGGGGCAGGAGACTTCCCTGGCTGCCCAGCCGTGCAGACTTGACGGTTGAGCTCTGCTCAGTCGAATTTGGGAGCCTGGCTGTTGGGCTTTGGCCCATTCAGCTTGGAACTGGTCTGGCTGTGAACAAGATACAAAACAAAAACCTCTCTGGGTGTCTTCAGTCAGGGTTGGAAAGAAGCAAGAGGTGAGGGTTTCCCAGTGCCATCTCTCTTCAGGGAACAACCCCAGTCAAGGGTTCATCAAGGCGTGAGACCTTCATTGAGGCTTCTTAAAAACAAAACCATCTTAAAAGAAAAAATGTCAGTGGCTGAGAAATGCCTGCATGTTCCCAAAATGCATTTTGCCTCAGTGGAGCAGGCCAGCCTCTTGCTTGCAGAGGCCAGCTTGCTTTCATTAGGAGAACGATGGCTGTTACATGTGGTCAAGAGCTGCTTGCTCTGGAAGTGGTCTGAAATATGTGGTACTTTTGTATTTCAGGGTTAAGACGAGCTCAAGATGACCCCGACGCAGTGGGACTTCCCTGTGGAGCTGTGCTGTCGTCCTATGGCCTTTGTAACCCTCACGGGCTTGGATCTTATATACAATGCTGTTCATCGTGCAGTCTGGGATGCATTTTGTGCTAATAGAAGAGCAGATCGCGTCCCGATTTCTTTCAAAGTACTTCCTGGCGATCATGAATATCCCAAATGCAGAACAAAGGTATAGTCCAAAATCAGTCTGTCTATCTCATTAAAAAGAATATTCAATCTTATAGGAGATATCAAATTCCTATTGTAAAATATTTGCTGTTTGTGATTACTCTGTGTAAAACTTTACTACTACTTTCTGCTATGTGGAAGGCAGGTAGAATCTCTCCTGAGACCATATTTAGCACAGGCCTACCTGTGGGTGATTTCTTAATCTGCATTCAGGTTGGTTGGTTTTTAATGGTCTGTTGCCTATGAACAGCTACTCTCTGGTCAGTGATATCATTCCCAGGAGTTAGTGCAGGCTTGTGGGTGCCTATACATGAGCAGACTTGATTAATCATGTCTGCTAGAGTGTGGCAATTGCTGTGCTCCAGTAGCATCCTGTGGCTCTTATATCAGTGTCCCCGCACCTCAAAATGTCAGGGGAGCACTTTATCTAAAGCTCATTCAACAAGCTTTAGATAAAGCGCCCCACCACCATTTTGAAGTGTGGGGACACTGATGCAATAGATGCTTTGGGTGCCTTTAATTAGAGTGGCTCTTGGAGCCACTCTAATTAAAGCACCGTCTGTCCCCATCCTGGAGCATGTGTATAAGCACCGTGTGCGTCTTTTTGGAAGGGATGTTGACTTGGTCCTTAATTATGGTCTCAACAGAGGTTCTGGATTATCTCTGGACTATCTTTTTATATCCCTTATGTCCTTCAGTGGGTTAACTGCTTTGTTTCTCCCTTCTGATGTCTTCAACCCACTGTTGCCTCTCTTATCAGTCCTCTTCCCATGTCCTTTCCCTGCCCTTATATTTAAGTTACTTTATTTTTCCTCACTTGGTATCTTTCCTCTCTGCAAGTACATTCACAGCATCTGATGAGGTAGACAGTCACCTATGAAAGATTATAACTTTCTGCAGGAGTTGGTCTTTGACGTGCTACCCTGCCCTGCTTTCTGCCTGAATTCAGATTAACGTGGCTCTCTCTACACTGTAGTTAAGTGAAATCTGGAAGCATTACATGTTAAAGTCATAAATCTGTAACTTGGACAACATCCGAACTCCAGCTATTCAATTTTGACTGAGTGAGTTGCAGTAGAAGATTAGTATTTGTAGCCTACTTACTGTGCTGCAGAAGGAGTTAGGAAGTACTGTCAAAGTTTGGCATGTGATAAGCAGCATAGTCCATACCAAGGGCTGAGAGCTAGACACCAAAAGACCTGGCTTCAGTTCTCAAATTTTGACTTCTTTTTTGCTCTACAAAAAAACTGGTTGTGTATATTTTTTGGGTTTTTTGGGTTTTTTTATTTTGCACAAAATGATTCCATAAGTGAAGAATATAACTTTTTATCCCTGAACGTAATCTGCATTTTAGTATTGTATTCTTTTTCTCTCCTTCTTGTCCATCCACTCTCATCTTGGTTCCCTTGGATTTCAAAGACTTCTGTTTTTATCTGATGTTCCAGTAACATTTGTCTGCTTGTAATACTAGTTGGTTAAATATGATGGCTAAATGAAATCATAACCAAAAGATAGCATTAGGTTTCAGTGTAGAGGGCAAGGTTGTTGGATAAAAGATGATAAATGGATCCTCAAGATCAACAATATACAAAGAGTTCCCAAATATGGCAACTTTAGTTGGGATTGATAACTGATCGGTTTTTTTTCCTAAACAATTTCAGAGGACATCTTATGAGTGGTACATTCCAAAAGGGATACTGAAGACTGGTTGGATGAACAAACATCTGAATCTGGTACCTGCACTTGTGGTTGTGTTCTATGAACTGGACTGGGATGAGACACAATGGAAAGAAAAACAGTCAGAATGTGCAACTAGAGTTGAAATTGTCAGGTACACTTTGTGTTTGTATTGTCATCCAGCTGAAACAAATCAGCACTCGGGTATAGGTTGCACAGTACTTAGACTTGCTATACAACAGTTTAATCTCTTTTCATAATTTCTCACATTTTGTGTTTCTTGTCATAATTTTGCAGTGGGCTGCCTTAGGACCCCTCTAGATGTACAGGTGAAGGCGTGATGGGATCTGATGCACAATCCACAAAATTGCACTTCCTGTCACGCTACACGTGCATGGCAGGAGATCTGATGCATGATCCCACAATCGCATCCCATCACACCTTATTGCTGGTGCAGGGGGAACCCAGGTCAGCTGTGGACTTCCAGCCACAGGAATGTACTGTGCCTCTGTGGCTGAGACCTGGGTCAGCTGATGGGACTTCCTGCCGTGGGGTGCACCTGGCCACAAGTTCTGTTAGTGGTATGATAGGACCCAGCCACAAAGTCATTACATGTTTTTAATGGAATAACTGTGGGGCTTATTCCTCATTATTGCATCATTAATAAATTGAAATTATGGCTGGGTTACAACTTAAGGCGTGATTAACCAGTTAACCACGTCTTAAGTGTAGTGTGTGACAAGGGCCTTGGAGATAAAGTGATTGCAACTGAAATTTTGCTTTGAATATTTAAGATGCAATTAAATGGCTGTAAGGAAGTCTTATTTCAGAAGGTAATTTGACCGAATTGTTTGGGAACTGCCTCTGCTTAATTCTTGTTGGCTAAACTTGTTATTAACAGTTCAAGGGTTGTAGCATCTTTAAAGAGTAGAGAGAACATTTTCTTCTGTGGTCGATCTTGTGATATTTTATATCCAATTGTTTAATGCCTTTGTGTAGACTGAGATCTTCTTTTTTTGTTTTGTTTTGGATTTTTTCTTGTTTGGGTTGTTTAAAAACACAGACTGTCAGTTTGACTTCGCAACTCTTTTTCAGGCAGAGTTTGCAGGGAAGAAATACAAAAGTTGCTGTGGTTTTGATTCAGAAGAAAACACCCTTGCCTCCAGGTACAGAGAGAAATCTCCCACTCCCCTACTTTGTCATACAGAAACCTGTAATTAAAGGGAGTTATTTCCTTGCCTTAATATTGACAGATTTCTTTTTTCTGTTTCAAGCACATAACTCGGATGTAAACATGTAGAAGTAAAATAGCTCTGTTACATGGAATTATGAAAACTCATGTGAATAAGTTCCTTTCTCTTTCTTACAGCTCTAAAAGTCACTTGGGCTGAATTAAAGAAGTAAGAGTAGTGTTAATTTTGGGCAAAGCATTATTTTTCCACCTAGAATACACCAACCTGCTGTGGAAGTTTTTTTTTAATTAGATATATTTTTTCAAAATAACCACATGGCTAGCACTGAATATATATCTATTAGAGTTTTATTCAGTAGAACAGCTGAGAAACTGAATTGCCTCCAGAAAACTTGGGTAATAAGCCAGCAATACATTTTGTAAAGAGTTATATATTGCTCTTTGCAAATGTATTGCTGGCTTATTACCGAAGTTTTCTGGAGGCAATTCAGTTTTTCAGCTGTTCTACTGAATAAAACTCTAATGTTCTAGGTGGAGTGTAGGGGAATCCATCTTTTCGTCAATGTACTAGATTTCTCTATATTTTGATGGTTAATTTTTGAGAAGAATATAGTTTAATTTGTCTGTGAGCTGATGTTTGTGCTGTCTCAACTTCCTTAGGGGAAGATGTTATTGCGTCAGAAAGGGCAGCAGCTTTATGTAATGCTTGTGACCTCTCTGGAAAATCCCTGTTTGTGCTGCCGCATACTGATCATCTTGTTGGATACATTATAAGGTAGGTGATTTTTGGTAAAAGTCTTCTTTCCTCTTTAGTGTGTGTTTTGTTCTTGGGTTGCTTTTTTCCC